CGTACACCCACGTTTTTCCACTCTTATTTATACACAATAGGACTTGACGGCTAACCCTAACCTTCTTCTCCAAGTTTTGGAATCTATCAAATCTTTCCGAATATCCATCTTACCATAATCTTAGCTAAGGATAAATGAAAATCTTCTTCTTCCTAAATCTCTCCAAGCTAAGTATATTTTCTATCACTTAGCTTGTAGATTCGTTCTCCAAAACTTTAAGTCGTGAGCCCAAGCCCATCTCTTCAAGCCCGATCCGTTTCTTCATCAGCTGGCCGTCTGTAGCACTTATTGTAGTACTCTACACTGATACAAGAACTGCTTCAACTCAGCTGCATCTTCATGTTTCAGCTGCTTTACATCAATTTCTTACTCCTTAGATAAACACTTGTATCAACTCATATTGAATTCTAAAACTCATTCAAACATACACTTTCACCATCTCATCTCACAGTCGTTAATTTGTTTTGGTAAATATAAAAAGAAATCTAATGCTCCCACGAACAAAAATAAAACGATCACATTTGGTCGAAATCAGCCCAATGTGGCTATACGCAATGCAAACTTTGATGAAATTAAATTGTATTTTACCGCATGAAAATTCATTTCTCCTTATAGCACTTTGAAAAAAAATGGTTCCATAAAACGATAGAATATCGCATGTTCAGTGTGTAAACTAATAAGTATAATATTTTTTTCAATTAGTACGTATATTTGAATCTGTGCAGCCTATAATATTTCCATGGTTACATCAATGGACAACTCACAATGAAAATCCATGATGATGTACCCTTAACAAAGTACATGCATGGTCCGAACATTAACGTCGAACCCTTCACGCCGCTTTGTAAATAATGACTCATCATATCATACTTAATAACCCAACGCTAAATCGTACTTTTATTTCAAATAGTATACATTATAGTCCTTAATTAATGATCTTAATTAACTAAAATGCTAAGTGGTATGCATCGAGGTAAAATTGGAAAAAGCTGAGCTCGGGGATACTTTAGAGACACTATCATTGCTCTTACATCAAACTGTTCCCATTCTCCTTTTGTTAGCTTTAATATTCATCTTTAACTCTCTTGGCCTTTTTTCTTTATCTTTCCCTATCGATTAACTAGTAAATTAATTTACTAGCTCTACCAACTTAGTTGTCTTTT